GCCCCGATCCGGGCCTGAGAGATTCTTTCTGGACGAGTGAGAACGAGGCCCTGGGGGAGGCCTCTCAGGGGGCACCTCCCTCTGTGTCTTTCCTCTCTCCAGGTAGAGGCAGAAGCAGGTCAGGCCTGGACTTGTAGCCCAGGAGATCAGGGGATAGGGGTGGGGGCTGGACACAGCCCCGAGGGGCTGGTGCCCATGGCGGCTGTGTCCTGTCTTCTGTGGCCTGGCTCTGTACACACATGTTCCACCCCAGAGCGACACTTCCTTGACCCGAATGCTGGGGGTGGGGTGGGGGGGAGCCTGGAGCAAGGAGGGAGATCCAAAGTCTCCAAAAGTTGGAGATTTGGGAGAATTATGTACTCCTCCCTTCCAGATATTTCTCCAAGGGCTGCCATCCCAGGACATGTTCCTGTGGACCTCTGGATCCCTGCTCAGTGTGTGTGCAGGGGGTGGACGGATGTGTCTTCTAGGAAACAGGATTCTGGTGGGTCCTGGACTCCCCCTCCTCAGAGAGAGGCTAGGAGCCAAGGGGAGTCTGCCCTCTTGGGCCTCCCCCTAGCCCCCTAGGGAGGGAACAGTCATCAATGTCAGTGCATTTGGGCTGGGAAACGACAGAGGAGGGTGGTCAGTGATTGGGAGGACTGAGCTGTGTGTCTGTGTGTCTTGGGCCCTGCTCTTGCCCTCACCCTCAGAATGTACCAGAACCCGGTCCATTCTGCCAGTTGAAGAACTATTAAAACTAGAAGGAAACATCTCAACAGAGGAGGTCAAGAAATTAGATGTCAGGTCCCAGCTGGACTTTAACCAGCTGTGTCACCTTGGTGGGCCTCTTTGGGCCTCAGTCTCCCTTCTTGGAATAAATGACCTCTCAGGTCCCTTTTCTCTGAGCCCCTCCGGGAGTCTCTGTCTCCTAGTCAGTCAGCCTTCCTTCCCCTCCCATTGTGGAACCCGAACCTGGTGGGGTCTGGAGAGGTGGTGAGTGGGTGATCCAGTGGTCTTAGGAAGAAGTGAGGACAAACCAGGGGGTGACTGAGGAGTAGCTAAGCCAGGTGAGCATGGCTAAAATAGTTGTGGGCAGCAGGGGGACCAGGTGGAGTTGGGGGAACCTCCCCACTGAAGTGGCGATGGGGTCTGGCAAGCCGGATGGGATGAGTGGTGTTCAGAGGCCACGTGGGTGGTGGGCCCCTGCACCTGGCTTCCGGACCTCTCTCTAGGGCTTGGTATTAAGCTGCCAGGGTTCAGACTCTATCAGCCCTGCCCCTCTCCTCGTTCAAGAAGAGGAGGGGAGCAGAAGCTCAGCTCACAGTGAGGATGGTGGGGAAGGGTGCTGCTAGTGCCAGGCCCCAGGGAGCTGGGGGGCCGCGATGGCTCTAAATACTGCAGCTTTCTGTGGAGATGGCTCGGAGGTCACACTCTCTTCTTCCCACATGGAGGCTGCAGAAGCCGTGAGGTCCCAGGGGTGGCCTTGAGGACCCAGGGGTCGCCTTGAGGACCCAGGTCTCTGAGGACCTCTGGGGCAGCCCTGGGGCCATGACAGGAGCTTCTCTGCAGAGCTGGAGCAGAGGTCAGCACATGACCTCGGCTCTGTCTCATGGCCTTGCCCTGCCCTTCCCTTCCTCCCAGTGTTGTGCCAGCCTAGGATTGTCTGTAGGAGAGGTGCTGCCCCTCTGGGGAGGACACTGANCGCCTTGAGGACCCAGGTCTCTGAGGACCTCTGGGGCAGCCCTGGGGCCATGACAGGAGCTTCTCTGCAGAGCTGGAGCAGAGGTCAGCACATGACCTCGGCTCTGTCTCATGGCCTTGCCCTGCCCTTCCCTTCCTCCCAGTGTTGTGCCAGCCTAGGATTGTCTGTAGGAGAGGTGCTGCCCCTCTGGGGAGGACACTGAATGGGAGAGGGCTCTACCTTTCCCCTCAGGGTCCCACAGGAGGCTGCAGGCAGGGGCCAGGGAACCCTATCTCTCTGGGATCCCCGAAGCCCAGCCCTTGAGGTTTCCTAGAGTGCTGATTGTTTCCTGTGCTCCCTGCCAGGCCCGAGAGGACAGGAAGCGATAGAGGGAAACGAGAATGCAACTGTGTGACGCTGGATGTGTGCAAGAGAAACTGAGTGGGACATTCTGTGTGGGCGAGCCTGTGTGGGGTGGGTGCGTGTGCGAGAGAACCAGGTAAAACCAGTTTGTGTGTGTGACTGCATGCGAGGCTGGACAGATGCACGAGAGAAACTATGTGGCATTGCCTGTGACTTTGCAACATTTGTATGTGAGAGAAACTGTGACATTGTGTGTGTGTGGCTGATGCAGTAGAGAAACTGACATTGTGCGTGGCTGATGCTGCATGTATTTGAGAGAAACTGAATGAATGACGTTCTCAGTGTTACTGTGATGCCCTCACACGGGGTATGTTTATGATGAAACGGGCCCATCCGTGGGAGCCCTGTCTGACACTGGATGGGATTTTGGTGCTGCACCTGTGTGAGGGACACAGCGATTGTGTGATCCTGTGTGTGTCAGAAGTAGAATGAATAACACTCTGTGTGACATGCGACCCTGTGGGGTGCTACTTACGCTGTATGTGTGTGAACAGCGTATGGGGTGATCTCAGGATTATAGAAACTCTGCTGGTCTGTGTATGTGACTGTGTGACGCTGTATGAGAAAAACTCAGTATGGGGTGTGGGTGTGTAAGGCAGAGACCACTGGGACGTGGTGGGCTGCACCCAGTACCGTGGAAGTGCACTCAGGGGTTGTTGGCTGAGCTGTGTGAGGTAAGGTGTGTAGGGAAACAGCACCAGAAGGAAACGGCTTGCTCCCTGCGTGTGAGAGAAACTGGGGTGTGACTGAGACTGCCTCCGTGGGTGGTCACTATCTGGGATTGTTTGGGACTATAGGACAGTGTGGGTGACATCCTTCAGGGCTGTGCCAGACGTGGCGTAGGACTGTGTGTGACGAATTTGGGGCCTGTGATCCCAAAGCATGTGGCATCTATGTAGGGGACCATCAAAAGATGCCACTGAATTGTGCACTTAAAAATGGTTTAAATCGATCCTGGCTGGATGGCTCAGTCGGTTGGGGCATCATCGCATACACCAAGAAGGTCATGGGTTCGATTCCCAGTCGGGGCTTATATGGGAGGCAGCTGATCAGTGTTTCTCTCTCTCTCTCCCCCTCCCCCTCTCTCTAAAAGGAAATAATAATAAAAACATATTCTCAGGTGGGGATTTAAAAAATGGTTAAAATCGTACATTTTATGTTCTATATATTTTATCACAATAAAATAAAAAATGAAAAACAGAAAGGAGAGAAATGCAGGTAACAGCAAATGAGCAGGGCAGTGTGAAGAGGATTGTCTGTGAGGCTGGAGGCGAGAACACCGCGTGTTTATAGAAGACGGTGGGGTCTCATGGTGGGGAATTGATTGGGTGACTGGTGGCAGCTGGTGGGTGACTTAGGGGCCTGGGTGCAGGCAGGCTGAGGTGGGGGACATTGACATGTGGATTGAGACTTGTGGGACCCAGTTTCCCAAGTTACCCATTAGCTGTATCTGTTCCTCCTAGACTTGGGTACCTGGCCTTGGCTGGAGCGGGCCAAGATGAGAAAGGACAGGATCTCAGGGTGGGGGTGAAGGGAGCGCTAGGAACTGGGCCCCTTTCTCTGCGGAGGTTGAGGTCTCGGAGTCTCTACCCTCCCACCTGCCTGTACCCTGGGGGAGGGAGCTGACCGTGGGAGCCAGCTTTGGAGAAGGGGGCGTGGGGGCTGCCCTGTCCCTCTGCTCCCTGAGAAGCCTGTGCCCTGGGTAGTGTGTGTGTGTGGGGTGCACAGTCTTGATTCCCAAATTGGAAGCACATTAATAAGCGGGGGAGAGGGGAGGAGGCCCCCCACCTCCCTCCTAGTTGACTCTGCAAATTGCTTCCTCCTGTTAAAATCCCGACCCAGCTCCAGGGTAGAAGGTGCTCCCCCCCTAGCCTGGAGGGTGTGGCCACTTGGCAGGGTCCCTCAGGGGTCCTTGGACTGGAGCTGGGGGAGGCAGACACCATCCCCCCTCCCTCCCCAGCTCGGGTCCCAACCAGAGCAGGGCCACTTCTAGGGTGGGAGCCTCTGACAGCTGGAGAACAGCTGGCCTCGCTGTGGGGCG